AATTTTTTTTCCGTCATCCACGACGAGTTCTGTCACATTGGTGACGTTGACCAATAGCAGCACAGAAGCTCTTTCATACACAGGTTTCAAACATGGCAAAACGAAAGAGAGATGATGGTGCTGCTAGGTGGAATTATGAGATGGAGGAAAGGTTCGTGGAGCTGTGGCAACAGCACTCCTGCCTGTATGATGTGTCATCGAGGGACTACCACGACAGAACAAAGAAAGAAAAATGCTGGTGAACTATAGCGGAAGCGCTTCAGCAATGTTTACACTCTTGTTTTCGGAAGTCAGTCGCTAGTTCTGCATTCTCGATGACATCACGCACGTCGTTAAACACTGCACGCGATGAATGGTCGGGAAACAACGTGTAAACTGACATGTTTCTTGTCCACGACACGACAAGATTTTAGGAGTCAAAATCGTGTAATCTGACACAGTGACTATCGTGACGACAAAAATATTGTGTAGTCTGTACCCGGCATTAAACAAAGTTTTGTTAAAGGTAAAGTGTGTGTTATTTTCATGTGCACAGTGAACAAGCAGTAGAAAGAAAGAAAAAGAAAGAATTTGCGAGTAAGGCAGACACTCCTTTCTGAAGGCAAATTTAAATATGTAAATGCATTAAAAGCAAACTTTTATGCATATAATTGTTTAACAAATTGCCAACATACTTCAGTTCTGTACGGAGTGATTCTCTGCTGAAGTCGACAGGATAATCCATCGACTGCTTAAGCTCAACCAGCCTGAAATAAAGAAATATTCCAAAAGAAGTGAGTTTTTATAACATACTTGTTTGAGGCAGAATCGGTACGTTTATAAGAGGTCTGTGAGCTCACTTGTGTTCAGGGGTTTCTTCCTGAAGGGATAACGGGGAAGACATAGATGGATTCCCCAGAGACACATGACTTGGTCCTGGTAAAGCAGTATTATTTGGCTTGTTCAAGCTATAAATAAATAAATAAATATATACATTCATATGTTTCTGTCAAAGCGCATTATGTTGTGGGCTGAATAAAGTGCATATGCAATCATGATAAAAAAATAAATAAAAATAAACGCCCAAACCTTATTCTTGCTTTTGGGAAATGCAAAAGTACCTTAAGCCTAAGTACACTGTAGAAACCAGTGGAACAAGCCATTGGTCTCTACAGTCAGCTTAGGCTCAAGATGGTTTTGAAAAATGCTGTAAGCATACAGTAAGCGGCACTTGAAAAAATGCAGAAATAACCAGGTTACCCCAATATTCAAACCAGGGTCGTGCAATTTTCCATTTATGACAAGGTCTCAAATTTTTTTTTTAATTGGTAGCAAAATTGTATGAACTCATTCAAACATTTTTTTTTTTGTTGGTATGATCTGCTTATACCCCACTACTGAGTATTAGGTTTATAAGTTGATTTTCATGTTTATTGTATTTACTTATTTATTTTTTTTAAATAATACATATTTTTATGAATCAAGTTATACAGACTGATACAAAATCACCAACTTGTTAAAAAGTTTTCTCCTTTTTTTTTTTTTTTTTTTTTAGGAGACTGGGCTGGTTTCTGTCTGCTTTTGTTGTGTTGAAAAGACTTGCAGTTTAAACATTCTTCAGAATGTCTTCTTTGGTGTTCCACAGAATAAAAAAAAAAAAAACATTCTACGGGTTTGGGACGACATGACAAAAGTTATTTTAAAACATTATTCATATTTGTTGATAATGTTAAATAAACTTTATTGTTAGACATCTTTTCATGAAACTAATTCATTTCTGTGCATCTCGAGCAATTTGTCTTATAGTCAGATGTGTACATGTTAGGCCAACAGGTTTCTTGTGATGCAAAACTCTTCCACAACACAATTTGCTCAGCGAGTGAGCTAGACACATTTGTCTAAAGACTAAAACGAATATATATATGCGTCAAAAACTGTTATATCCTTGATGTTAACAGAAACAGACTGTTGCTAGCATACTTCAGTTCTGTAGGGATTGCTTCTCCGCTGTAGTTGAAAGGATTACGCATTGACTGCTCTCTTTTCATTGACAAATTGCTGGGCAGAGAGAAGTCAGAGTCCTCACGATTAATCAACCTAAAATGAAGAAATGTTTTAATGGGGATAAGATTTCATTGTTTGTGGCAATATCCACCTGTTTATCAGCCCTATGATCTCACCTGTGTTTCTCTTTCAGGGTTAACTGAGGACACATGGACTCATTCCCCATGTAACTCTGTCCCAGTGAAGCAGATTCATCTGGCTTCTTCAGGCTTTAAAATAATAATCATTTTAAAAATCTAATAGAAAGCTAGCATAATGTATTTTATATATATGTTGAGTCGATTCGAGTGCAAATACAATCAAACGAATAAACAGGAAACATACAAACCTTAAATCAGCCAGTTCAATAGCAAGGCCTCTGTCCACACTCATTTTAGTATTTGAATGACTAGTTAGTGAACCAAACATTCTTCAGCCTGCAACAATAGATATACACTGATGTAAATAATGACATGAAGTTTTTAAGAACTGAATGTTTTAACGTGACAGATTCTAAGAGGTTCCATTCAGCAAATGGGTCATTACTTCAAATTAAATTGAACTTTGAAACTTTTGTAAAATGGCACATTGCCTTGTAAATGCATTCAAATCTTACTTTTTTTAGAACTTAAAAAAAAAAATTGTACAGGTCAAACTCAAGGACTTACACAACTTTTCTATTCTGTTATATCCTTGACATTTTAGTCACCTATTTTCT